TTCCTCCCCAAACGTGATCTTCTGTAGAGAAAAAGAAACAAAATTCTGTGTGAAAAACTTTTTGCTCTTACTCCTGACATTGCTACACTTCATTAATCATGACTCAGATATCCAAAAATATAAAATAATAAAATTACATTTGATCACATAAAAGTTCATGAAATCAATAAGGTTACAGACTTTTCTAATACATTTTTGAAAGCTAACTATAGGCCAGTTGTTATTTCTTTCTCCAGTGGGCTAGTAGAGTTTTGCTCCAGCAAGATAGAGAAATCAAATCCAAGCTATCTGCCGAGTACAGTGACTGCATTTGCTTCTACTTGGATTTCTGCATATATTTGGGATTTACTGTAAATGTAATACTTTTATGACAAGAATGATCTGATGTGAGCCAAATATATAGTTACTCCACTACTGCAGCAGGATAGATGTGAAAGGTTTTTTGAAGTCTTTCTCCTTTCAATTTTGAAACTTACATATATACACTTTTATACTGTTCAAAAAGAATTGCCTGACATTCTTTTGGGGGCCTTGTGCTCAATCCACGGCAGTGTGGAGACCAAATGGCATTTGACAATGAAGACAAAATCGGCAGATCCACCACTGGCATCCTGTGCTTTTCACAAATAAGCGCAGGCTCACCCTACGCACTTTAAGACAGATGTAACAGGGTCTGGAGAAACTGTGGAAAATGTTGTGCTCCCTGTCACATGGTTCAGCATGACCGGTTTGGTGGTGGGAAGAAATCACCAGGACACCATCTGCCATCTTATTAGCTTGTCATACAAGCATGTCAGGGTCAGACAAACTACTGAGTGTTATTTATGTTGTTGCAATGAAATTTCTGCAAAATGATCCAGCCTGCCACATCAGAATTTCATTTTGAATTAAGGGGTTGTATGTGAATTCAGCCCTTTGTAGGCTGATCATTTTAATTTCCATCAAACGATGCCATCCTGTCGTTCCTAACACAATGCGCAGTTCAGTATAGATATAAGCATGACTTTTTTTTAACAAGCTTTTTCATTTCTTTCTTTTATTTTGTAGCAGTATAATTTACATTTATTACTTATACCATAAGTAAATTTGAGGGCTATTTGTAACAAAGTATTTACACATTATGGCATTAATACTTTTACTTAAGCAAAAGGTCAGAGTGTTTTTTGAGAACTTTATCCAGATTTAGTTTGATAGAGTGACCACTCACTTTGGTTTTAACATAGCTGGTGAGACAAGCTCTTTGGAGTTGTGAGACTCTCTGAACTCATGCAGCCTCACAGCGACACCGGATCCTGCCATCACTGTCCAAGTTAGTGTCTGCAACGGATCCCAGTGAAGGTCAACAATGAATCCACTATCACAGTTCAAGTTTGAGAGTTTCCTGAAGAAAACACAGGAGACACAATAATCTCTGCTGAATAATGCATTTCTATATCATCAGTCAGCCTTTAAATCTGTAAACATGCCTAATTAGAACCCTAAGAAATACAGTCATCTTTGAGCCTCTGAAGTAATATATGTGTGCAGTATTCTGGTGTCATGTGCTAATATATTTTGATGGGTAATGATTATTTTGACCACTTGAGGTTGCTAGTGAGAAGTTACTGTTTTAGTTATGTTCATAGTGTCGTATTTTTAGTATATATAAATATAGTATTCTACTAACTAATAATACTAATACTAATAATAATACTAATAACTATATTTTGTACAGCATATTTAATCCAAGTATAGTTGTAGGCAAAAGAAATGCAGTCAAAGCCTGCATATAAAAACAATCACATTAGTGAGTTTAAGCACAGAATAGGAAAAATATAATGAATTCATTTATTTAATACTTTCGGCTTTGAAATATGTTTCCTACATAAGAAAAGCCTTGTTAATTGAAAAAGCAGCGGAGGACGTGCAGCCTTACCTTAACATGAGAGAGTCATCACATCTATTCGTCCTATCAACCCGAGACCAGATACTTATATGTACTCGATTCTGCTCACTATTTCCTATCCTGTGTTTCTCTTCTCTTCTCTGACAGAGAAACCCAACACTAAGTGCTCTGGCAACAAAGAAAGCTGATACTAGCAACTTTAATCTCTCTCTGCCTCTCTCACTTGCTCACACACAGACACATGCATACACCTGTAGTTCCAATTTGACCTGCTAGTAATTTGCACAGAGAAATATGTGGGACATCTTATCTTGCATACACACATTCATTCATCCAGAACTTCAAATTCCTGTAAAACAATGTTTCTATCTTCAGTTCAGAGGTTCGATTTTTTTTTTTTTACATTATCGGGACTGGGTTGGTTATCATAAAGAATATCAGATTCTGCTGTAGACACAGGCTGGGACCTCCCACAGTCCACTAAGCACTTCTACTCCAGTTGATTATTTGCTATAATGGCAGAACTTTTGTCTTCTGTTTGGTCCTTAGTCTCACTTTTTCTTTCATTCTTTCTTTTTTTTTCGGTTTGTTTTCTTTCTACTCAAATCAGTCATGGCAGAGCATCTGTTGGTTCCATGAAAATATCTTCTGGTCTTTCTTCTTATCTACAGTTTGACAACAGGCTATCACACTGTTTGCCCTATAAAACCTTTGAAAGGATGTTGCTGTAAGCTGGTGCTACATTAAAAGAACTGAGCTGAACTGACCTCAGTTTAATTAATATTAACATCTCCAAAACAGGAATAATACCTGGAGCGTACAAACACAGAAGTTGACACTTGTTCAGACGAAGAGAGTTCAACATACCTAGGGTATCTTTGTGTTATCTGGTTTCACTTACTCTAACTTACCCAAGTAATTGCTTGACATCATCTAACCAGTCACAGAGGCGTGTTTCACAGATCATATGACTTGTTTTCCACAAAAAATGATCCCAATGAGTGGCGCCTGCTGCAGAAATATTATCAAATGGTGATATAAATCTCTACAGATCACAAAAATGTACCAGTAAAATACAATATTGTTGTTAAAATGATGCTGATAAATGTTGCAGAAAATGTTTTAGTTATTCTGGCGATTTAGTGCACACAATAAATATTTTAATTCCAATTAATAGTTTTATCACCAAGTGCGTTCTCACTGCAGATTATTATTTGTAAGGTGATGGCTGCAGTTCAGACTGAATCCATTTAAACATTAAAGCTTACTATCACACAGCCTAATAAAGGAGATGCTTCAACTTGTCGCAGATCAAAAGTAAATCATTTTTATTGGTCGAACAGGTATCCTTGCTGTGTATTCTGTGTTTGGAGGTCCTTCCAGGAATGTTGATGCTATTTTCTGAAGATTTATTTGGTCAGTAGGTGATAATTTCATACCTGCTGATCTTTAATCTGGATCTTAACCTGCTCTGTAGCAGGTTTCAAAAATATTTAAAATATGCTAATACAATAACAATCTTCATCATAATCACAATCATAATAATTGCATCAAGTGCTGAGATCTAACAATAAAAAACAAAAACAAAAAAAATCAACGTGTACAATGAATTTACATCTATTAATAAATCTCATTTTTGAACAATATCCTTAAACTACCTCATGGACGTTGTAGACCAGAGACTGAGACTGAATTGTTCTTTCAGACACCAATTGATTAATGCAAAGCACCAGCACCAGCAACAGGAGCATCACTCCCACAGCCAGACTGGGACCGGATCCTTAAACAAAGCAGCCATTGAGTGGAAGGCTGGGGAGGAAAAGAGAGGGGGGGTTGCTATACATTTTCTTAAAACACAACAAAACAAAACAAACAAACAAACAACAAAACATTACCGAAAATACATATTTTGTGTTGGGCAAAACGTACACTTAAATAAACACACAAAGAAGACACTTATATCTGCTGTGAATCATAGGAAATGAATTATAACTGAACTGAATCTGGACAGATACAAACACTTCACACACACACACACACACACACACACACACACACACACACACACACACACACACACACACAGCGAGAGAGAGAGGGAGAGAGAGAGAGGGGAGAGAGAGAACAAAAGCCAGGGATCAACAAAAGCCTAGGATGCCATGAGGAGACAGATGCTGCATTCACGTGTTCTTCGTAAAGTCTCGTTTACCACATACACATGTAGCCAACAAACAAACGTGGAAAGTCGCTAGGAGACACGAGTGTCTCCTAGCGTCAAGTGCAAAAACAAAAATTGAAACACCTGGGTTTTCACAAGATAAAAATAAAGGGTAAAGATGACATAAAGCAGGAAAAGTTAGAGTACTGAGAAGAATACACTACGAGTAATAGCTCAGTGGAAGTCCACAAACGTTTTTGTAACCACAACGTAATCCCCATCATTCGAATAGGATTCAAATCATTTTAGCGCCTTTAGAGTTTATCCACGGTTTCATGACAAGGGTCCAGCAAAGAGATTCAATTACACCAAGAATGGCCCCTTTTTAGCCAATAGATGCCACTTACAACTTTAAGAAAACGTTTCATTTTCCGTTTTCTTATGAGTTTAATTCTATAATTGGTTACTAAATAGATAGTGAGACTCCATTTGTTGATAAATACTTTAAAATGTAAGTTTAGGACTTGAGCAAAAGCTTGTTTCTACCTGCATTTTAATATATATAAACTAGACAAGGCAGGTGGAATGTGGAATAATGTTGCATAAAAGCAGCATTTTGAGCTTTTAAATGAATCTGAACACATATACATATAAAGTACAGGAAGAAATTATTTGATGCCAAATAAATAATTACCTTTGAACCTCACATGTAATTTTTCTGCAGCTAGTTGAATTAAGTAAATAAGCCAAGCTCCTGAAATATAATCTATGTTTTAAATTGCGTTTTGGTTCCCCACTTAAACAACATGTCATAAGCAGTATTGTCTGATTCAAGTTAAGTAATGTGGCTGCGACTAAATGGCGAGGATAAAGTACCCCAAATTATTTGATTAGCTGCGACTTTTTTGTCACCGTTTTTAGAAAGATCACATTTCCGACAGCCCTTGAAGCCAGCAGGAGTCCTCCCAGTCAGATCTGGCTGAACGTGACGAGCCGACTCGGAGCCGAGCGAGGTTTCCTGGCGGAGCTGCGGAGGGAGCAGGAGTTGAGCGGGTTTGTCTGTCTGTCTGTCTGTTCGTGTGTCTATCCGCCGCCGCAGTCGCTGTCTGCCTGGGATATAAAAACAAAACAATACACCCCCGAAAACTCATCTTTACGGCTTCAACGGTCTGGAGACGGCATCCACGGCTATGGACCCATCGATGTCCTCCTGTTATCCACACTGAGCGACGTTACTCCGTCGGATGCTCCAGTGCCCAGAGGAGAGGAGGAGGAGGAGGGGGTATCCCTATCATTTTTCGACTGCCAGGTGAAATAATTATATGATATAATGTGTGTGGGGTGGACGTTTGGGTTGTTTGTGTGAAAAGGGTGATAAGGAGGGGGGAGTGGGAGTCGTTGTTTGGGGGGCACGGGCAGCGGGTTTGTCTCGAGCCTGGAGCGGAGGTTAGCACGCTAGCTAGCTGCAGTTAGCGGACTGCTGCTGCTTCGTCATTCGCCGGGCTGGGAAGGATGCGGCGCTGGGATGCTGCCGCTGCTGCAGCAGCAGGGAGGGGAGGGCCAGTAATGGTAACTGTACCGGCCGTCTGGCTTCGGCCCATCGTCCTTATGAACTACACCCCCAACCTCCCGTTTCCCCCCCTCCCACCTCTCTTCGTTGCGCCCCCCGCCTTCATAAACCACAGACTCTCGTTTCAGTTCAGGATGAACAAACAAAAATCGCAGATGATAGATACCGGAGTGGTTTCATCAGAGAAATAACACCACTTCCAACAGCTTGACTGCCGGACTGTCAGTTAGCCAGCTATGCTAGCCAGGCATTGAACTGGCTGACCGGCTAAGATTAGCACTAGCATCACCCCCCTCACCCTCCCCAGCTAGCATCCCTGGCTAACCCGCATCCTCCAGCCGAGCCATCACAGGCCAACCACACAACCACCTTACCATCCTGTCGTCTCACACCAGCTATTTCATCGCCACTAACAGTTAGTAATCGGCATAAGAGCCGTTGCCAGACATTTATTCACGGCTCGCCCATTAAAATATAATGGAGCACGCCAAGCGGATGTTGTTATGTAACAGATAATGACACCACACGCCCTTGAAACAAAAGCTGTTGTTTCAGTATTTGTTTGTTTGTGTGTGTGATGCAGGGCACAATCATGAACAATAAATCACAGACAGGGGAGGGGGGAGTGTTTGTCGCACCGAGGGCCGCAGCTCTGAGCCGGCTTCTGAAATATACAACCCCTGCTCCTGTCAGCCATTGTTTTTGTTGTCATTGGAGATCTCAGCATTTGTTTTCCAGCGCTGGATCTTCCCAATGGTGCTTGTGTGAGCCATGCATTGAAGCAACATGACCAGTCGGTCATCAGAACACAACCAGTACCATATGTTGTTTGAATGCTGAAATGTGAATGATTATTGTCAGTATAAGGCATGCGATTTTTACCCACAATGTGTTCGTTTTTTCATATGAAAGAGAAGCCACTGATGTGGGAATCAGGTTTTATTGTTAAATTACTTGTAAAATGATAGCAGAGGTGGACCTACTAGTCTCATCTCATGTTGTCTACTGGCATATAGGAAATTCAGTTACTTGTGAGACATTACAGTGACAAACCTTTATGAATCATCATCATCACTGCATCTGTAAAACTGATCCGGAAAACAATTATCTCTAAGGTCATTTGTCAGAGCATTCAGATAGCTCTGTTCAGAGGCAGTTCAGTGTGATCTTCATAAGGAACAGAATTGCATTACAGAACCATTTAAAGCTAATTGTAGTCCCTCTGTTTATAGTCACTGGGGTGATATAATTTAGCATATAGATATCCATTATCTTTCTGTGTTTAAAGTGGATAATTTGACAAATAAATTGATATAATAAGTTCTTACATTCTGCTAACCTGAATTGGATAAGTGGTTAAGAGCAATGGCTGGGTCTTATTAAGGCTTAAGCTGAGGGACAAGTTTTGGCTCCAAGGAGCTATATTACAGTTGCACACAGTTAGTTGCTCTAAACATGAGTTTATTTTTTAATTGTATGATTTTTGCATTCATTTACAAAACATCATCATGGAAAATGTCTTTATATGCACCTGTGAAAGTAATTTCAGGTAATATGCTGAAATAGTTATTGTAATGAAGCAGTGTTAAACTATACACGTGTTCAACATTTTAACATGCATACATCCATTATTTCACTTGATAGTGTTGGTTCTGTAAATGTAGTCTAAGTATCAGTGATGTAGAGATTGGGGCTCTGTAGGGGCCATCAGTTGCAGGACTCCTTGTTCTTTTTGCTTGATGCATCTGGCTGGATGTTTGAGCTTTGAGTTTGAGCTGCAGCATGAATTTGAGATGATCAGATGCCTTCTTGAGATCTTTACATGATGGAGAAGAATCTAAACACTTTAAATACCCAAACTTTTGCATAATAAAGTTATACTATTAAATGTCAAATATTTATCCCATACATGTTATCTCAGATCCTATGTTGCCTCTGAATGTGAGTCAAGGAGCTGATGCTGGTGGGTTTTGTTTTTTTTCATTGTGTTTTTGGTAGGGCTGCACAAACTGTTCAAAAATTCACGAGCACGCAGAAAAAAGTCCCAATAGCTGAAGCTGCTAAGGATTTTGAAGTTCCCTTTCTGATCCATGGGAAAAGGACAACTTGTTTTAACCTCTCTTTTTAAAAATATGTTTAAATTTAGAATTGGGGGACAAAAAGATAACTTTGGAAAATACTGCCGTGCATTTAGATATATAAACATCAATCAACAGGGCCAATATTTGCCAATAGAGATATTCAACTAAAACTATATATTGTAACTAGGGCTGTTCGATATAACGATATATATTGGTGACGATATAAAAACGTCTATC